AAATGTGACTTTTTAGCTGGGGACATTGCCATCTCCAACAAAATCAGAATTCTTTTAGGTGAAGAAGAGTAAATGGGTGGGTAGACAAAAGAAGAAGCAAGAGGAACAGATTTTTTTCCCCAAGAAAACCTTGAACTTCTAAGTACCAGGGACCTAAGCTGTGGGGATACAGGATACGAAAAGATGAATAAGACAAACTTCACCTTAGCCACAGTGAGTAGTTTTTAATGTCATCATCAAATCTAATTAGAAGCCATTTTCTCTGAGATTGGTTTATCATATTTGCTAGACTTCCATAGAAAGTCAAATCTCAAGTTACTGCACTGACTCTCCTTTGAAATAAATGCTTTATAAATGAAAGCACTTGTTTAACCTAATGACTAATACTTCTTTTAGTTATAAGGGATTGATGACCATCAATTTAGTTAGTGAAATTTTTATAGCAAGAAAGTGAAAATGGGATTGCTTAATATTTGTCTCCTCTGGACCCAATCTATTGCACAGAGTTCAACAGTGACCTTTTTCTAAAGGATAGAAAACTGGAATCCACTTCTTTAATTTCCTCTTTCTCTGTACAGACAATTCTATACCACAGCCATCTGTCCATCTCGACTGACGGCATTAATGTCTGAAAAACATTATCAAGACAACAGAAGTTACATATATTACTTTTCTCTGAACAATTATTTTTCCTTTTTAATGTAAAATTAAATCTTCATAGTAGGGGAAGGATCAGATACTTCACCTTTAAGTAGATGAGAATGTTGACCTATTTGGGGTAACATACAGAATTCATTTTACTTTGCTTTCAAACAGAGTATATGGATACATCACAGCCTTTTAAAAAGTAATCTTTACTTACAATAGGAAAATTTCCCTGACACAGTGGAAACAAGATAGGTCTGTGGAAAATTCTCAGAACTCCCCACAATCACCATTGTCCTTTACAGCTGAAGGAAGATTTGCTCTGTGAGAAAAGACCCAATTTTATACTAAAGAAAGAGCTTCTGGTAGGTTTCCCCCAGAACACCTCCCTTGGGATTTTGTTATAAAATCCAAAGGAATGCTGACACTTTTTGCCTTTACATGCTCCACCACTGGTTCTTTCTTTCCTCACCAATTTTTTTACAGAAGTGGGACACACCCTCTCTTTTGTGCTCTGTGCAGTATTAAATATACAAACAAAATAAAATATAAACTAGGAATAAGTTGGCATCAATATTTGGGGAGGGTGTGCTATGCATGTGATGGGATGTGGCACTTTGGGCTTTTAATTGCTTTATTTTTTTTATTTAAAATTTTAAGAACGAGTGGCGCCTGGGTGGCTCAGGTGGTTAAGCGACTGCCTTCAGCTCAGGTGATCCTGGAGTCCCGGGATCCAGTCCCACATCAGACTCCCTGCTGAGCAGGGAGTTTGCTTCTCCCTCTGACCCTTCCCCCCCCCTCATGCTCTCTCTCTCTCTCTCTTTCATTCTCTCAAATAAAATTAAAAAAAATTTTAAGAACGAAAATAATATGTGAAACAAAGGATTTATAAAGAAAAAATTCACCTCTCCTTTATCGTAACCAATGTTGAGATCCTTCCACATCTCTCCCCCTATTCACACAAACACTCTATACGTACACACGTGTCAAAGTTAGGATGCTCAATGCCTAGAAAGGGAAGAATAAGTACAAAGGATGTGTCCTACCTCCTCTTTTTTTAATTGTACAGGGAAGAAATGTATGAAGAACATGGTTTTATTAGAATTCTTCCAGTTGCAAGATACAGAAACCCTATTTAAACCAGTTTAAGCAAGAGTGGGGAAATTATCTTTCATATAAACTGCAGAAAGCAGGGGTGGAAGGGGGTAGTGGGGAGCCTGTGTCAGGGACAGCAGGACTGAAAAGTTCAAACATCCTCAGGTCTTTGCCTTTTTCTCCTCTCCTTTTTTTCTTTTTTTTTTTTTTAAGATTTTATTTATTTATTTCACAGAGAGAGAGAGCGAGAGCAAGAACACAAGCAGGGGGAGTGGGAGAGGGAGAAGCAGGCTTCCCGCCGAGCAGGGAGCCCGATGTGGGACTCGATCCCAGGACCCTGGGATCATGACATGAGCCGAAGGCAGACGCTTCATGACTGAGCCACCCAGGCGCCCTTCTCCTCTCCTCTTAACTTTGCAGTCTTTCTGTCTTGAGGAAGTTGGTTTAATTTCCTTGGGAAGACTGGAACCGTAGCTACTTGCAACCCTAAGCATTCTTTCATACAAGCACTTGAAAAAGAAAAAAAATTCCCTTCAGCTCCAATGCTCTCTTTCTTTCTTTAAAGGAAAAAAGAAGAAACCCTGAGGCCACAGACAAAATTTGTAGCCAGAAAGATTTTGGGGTTGAGTGCTAGAAAGCCAAACTACCTGCAGGTCAGGAATGGCTTGAATGAAATTAAGAAGATGTCTGTTTAGTGATCTGGGCAGCCTCATGAGGTGAGAAAGTGGTTTAAGGAAGAACCTCGGTTGATCGTTAACTCTGCTTCTACTAGATGTAGATCCCTGAAAGAAAGTGACTGAACTTGGGGTTCTCACTTGCTTCATCTCGAAGGTTATCGTCTGCTTTCTGAGCACCAGTGGTGGTGGGGGGGTCAAGTCAAGGAAGGTGACCCTGTCAATACAGGACATGGTGTGAGATGTGAGATACTCCCCCCATCTTCACCTCCGTGCTCCTCCATGAAGGTGGAGATTTTCTTGAGACAGGTATTGTAGATCTCTGAAGGTACATAGCACAGTGTCTTGTCTCTATTGATCACAACTCAGTAAATATTACTTTAGTGATAAGAGAAACAATAAAGATGCCAAAATTTAAACGCTAGTTTCAATCAAATGCTTTGGGTCTTCACTGGCACCAAGACAAGTTCCAGAGTATTCTTATAGGAAACTCATTTTGTAAACTAAGCTTAAAGGAGGGAAAAAAAAAAATCATTCCCCTTCCTGTCTAAACAACTTCATTCACAGTCCTTGCTCCCATTACCTTTCCATCTCCTCTCCAAAGGAAGTGGGAAAGCAAGCAATGCTAATGTCCCACCAATCCTTTTCCCTAGAGCAGAACTGGTTGTCATAACTGATGTTACGAGGCTGAGCTTCTCAAAAACATTTTTGGCAGCAAACTTACCCTCAGACTGAAAAATTGTCTCCATTCCAGTTCTGTGCACTAAAACCCTATTTTCTAGATTATGTGCCATGATCGGGGCCTCAAAAACCTTGAACTTCTTTAACCCCCTATCACTGTCAAAAATTTAGGTGTATTCCTTTAAGTCCTTCAGTGGTTACCTGCATTTTTGAAGGTGAGGTGTTTTCATATCAAATGGTTGTAGGCTCATGAGTGCAACAGTGAGTGATCTGAGGCATAAATTGAAAGATGGGGGAAACCACAAAGTTCACCTTTCTCTGTCTTGTCCAGGGCACAGTCTTTAAGACAGATTATGACCACTGTTGGTGACACAGTTTGTAGATAATGACAGAAATAACCTTCATTATGCATGTATCACAGTGGCTTTCTGCTGAAGAGGGCAGGGCCATGGAAGACATGACATAATCAGTTTTAGTTAAAATTACATTTTTATGCACTGACTTCTCATTAAAAAATTCCCAGTGGAGAATGATTTCTGAGCTATCCTTACCAAGCAGGGTTCCAAGTCATGTTCTAAAACTGTCAAAAGTTTATTTCACAGAATAATAATACTCGGTGCAGTCAAGTAACAATATCAATGACAGACAACAAAACCACTTCATTTTATTCTGGAGAAATGCACATCCATTAGAGTATTAAATCCAAAGATGATATATCTGTGATTTTTTTTAAAAAATAAGAAAGGAGTGCTTGGGTGGGTCAGTCGGTTGAGCCTCCAACTCTTGATTTCCATTCAGGTCATGATCTCAGGGTTCATGAGATCCCGCCCCACGCCGAGCTCCATGCTGGGCGTGGAGCCTGCTTAAGATTCTCTCTCTCCCTCGCCATCTGCCTCCCACCTGCCCCCCTTGTGCTCACATGCTCTCTCTCTCTCTTTCTTTAAAGGAAAAAAAAACTAAAAGCTAGGCTCCAAATCGAGTAATAATAAACATTTTTTTTTTGCATTTTTCCACACCAATGTAACAGCATAGTACACATTTTATTATCTATTCTAGAGAGAGATGTACTAGTAAATTGTGGGCAAACTATGATATATTGTAGACTACATTCTGAATTCCTGATTATAGAAAGGTTCAACAAATACAGAAATTTAAAAAGTATTTCAATGTTCAGTGGTAGAAGTGTCAAGTAATTATCAAGTTGGGTATGTTCTCTTTCTGGGTCTTACCCTGCTCCCGGTCAATGTACTCAACGGGACCTGCTTTCCCGTGTGACTCTAGAGTGACCCTTTCAGGTGTCTCCTAGTTCAGGCTTAAGCAGAATATCTCCCGGTAATATTTGTATCAACTTGGAGACCACAGACGATGGCTTTCTTCCCTCTCCCCTACTCCACTTATATCCAGGGAGCCCTAACCTGCAGAGTCCTGGGCTCTGTGGTCATTTCCCCAAGCCAGGCCTTCTCACTGAGTGTCACTGTGTGTGCTTTTTTGTGTCCTTGGTTAGCTGCTGCCCCACCCTCAACATGCTCTTTCTCTGCAAAGATTAAGCAGGGCTGAGTGAGGGGAGCCTTGGCTGCCACTATGGAAAGACCGCCAGCACTTCAACCTCAGCTTGGAGGCCATCACATTTTTCAGAAATGTCACATTTTATATTTTCCAGTTGACGGATCTAAGCATTTAAGAGAATGCTGCTTGTTGAATTTCTTCAGACTAATTTGCAATTAACTATTCAAACACAACTCACATACATACTTGAGTCCTACAACAATGAGATCTCTGTCTAGTGTATACAACTGAGCACATATTGAAAATTTTAAAAAATGTCCCAAGTGACATAAAGGCTGATGCCCTTTGTTTTCCAGTGTAGCCCAGGTCTTGCTTAGAAAGGATGCAGGTTCTCCTTGTCTAACCCTCTTTTGCATCAAAAAGCAGCTTTGTGTCACCTCGCTGGGGTGAGCTCATGGCCAAATCTGAATGGCGATTCTGGAGCAGGGGAGGAGCCCCTATCTCACCACATTCAACATGTCTGAGGTTGTGGCACTCACATGCTGAGGACTTGAGTCTCTTAGAGTATTTTTGGAGACAGCACTTAATAAGGCACTTGAGAACCAAAAAGCTCAGTTCAATGAAATTCAACACAATGCACAGGCATGAGGTAATAACCAAGAAGAGTATGAAGATCGTTTTCTCGGTGGGTTTGGAGATGAAGCAGTCCACAGTGTTGGGACAAGGCTTCAAATCACACTTCATAAGGTAGGGAACACTAAAGCCATCATACAGTTTGTAAAATAAAGCCAGGAAGCCAATTTCAAAACCAGTTTTAACAATAAGGCTGATAAGGTAAGTGTACCACAGGCCCCCATCCATCATACCTGGGCTGACATAGAGTTTCTTTCTGTGCCTCTTCTCTCTACCCTCACGATAGGCTACATGTAGAACCACCAGAAGTGAAGGTGTGGAGACCATGACCAGTTGTAAGCCCCAAAGTCTGACCTGGGAGATGGGGAAGAAGTGATCAAAACACACATTTTCACAACCAGGCTGTTTAACGTTGCACTCAAACTCTCTCTGCTCATCTTTCCACACATGCTCTGCCGCCACCATGTAGACCAGCAAACGGAAGATGAACACAACAGCAAGCCAAATCCGCCCAATCCCGGTTGAGTATTTGTTTACTCCAGTTAGGAGGTCCCTGAGGAACATCCAACTCATGACTTGGGTTCAAAAGAAGGTAAGATTCTGCAAAAGAAAACAATGTCATCATGATTCACTTATTTTTATTTCATTGATCATTTCCACTGTCTTACTTGATTACGGGATTATGGAAGATAAACTCAAATTTCAACTCTGGATGTTGAGGACTCACTTTCAAACAAGGAGATGATACAATTGGTCCACAGATGTAATTTATCTCATGCCCAGTGTAATTTGGAATTTGGTTGGTGATCCCACACACACTATCCCATTTTCAAACAAATTCTTCAGTTTATTGCTTCTCTCTAAGGATGGATGGGTTCTGTTACTGATCTAGAAAAAATTAGATATGAATCCCAAGGTGACTTTGGTACCTTGAGATAGCCATCACATACCCACTTCTTGAAGTTGTAATCTCTACTCACTTTTTCTACTTTGTCAACACCCCTCCCCAATCCCTAAAGGTTATTCTCTGCACCTACCTCCCTTTGTGTCCTGTATGCCATACCAACAGCTGAGCTTGCCTACATTCTGACAGTGATAAGTGAGGCTCTCCAATATGAACTTCTCCAAACTCATGTTTCCTCACCCCTCCAGACTTACATCCATGCCCAACTTAACCTGTTCCACCCAGTTTAGAGGAAAGGGTCAGTCTCATATTGCCTCAAAATGATCATTCCAGCACTACAGCCCATTCTTGATCTATCCATTTTCCCTGGTTCTATATTCTGTATCTCCAACCCTCACCATTTTAATCATCTCAGCATATAAGTGTACTTAAGTGTTATCCATTTTTAATGGGAGAAATCTGCATAGCTTATCTCTCTGACAAGCCCCTGTCTTCCTTTATCCCTTATTTCTACTTCCTCAGTTATTATTTACTCTTCAACTCACTGAGTCCAGTATTTTCTGCTCACCATTGCACACTAAAATTAGCACTACCACTCAACTACCAAATCTTCTGGATGCTCTGGATCTCATTTAATTTTTCTATGATACTGTTGTGTTCTTGAAACTTGTGTTCTTGAAACTCTTTCAGCCTTGACATCCGTATTACTCTCTCTTCTCTTTCTACTGTGCTGATCCTCTTGATTGTGCCATCTTAGGTTTCTTTGTCTAGTTCTTAAAAGCTCTGTCCTCTGTTCTTTTCTCACTCCATATTCTCTCCCTAGAAAATCTCATTCATTCCCATGGATTCAACTGCTGCTTTCAGATTCCTGACTCTCAAATCTTTAGCTTCTCCCCAGATTTCCATATCTCACTGCCTCTTGGTTATCATTTAAATATGTCACAGGCATCTCAAACTTGATATATCTACAGCTGAATTTATTGTCTGTCCTGCCCTTTGATTTTCTTGCTTAATGGCATCACCAATACCCAAGCACCCAAGTTGGATATCTCATATTCATCCTGGACTCCTTTCTCGTGACTCTTTTTAATTGCTCACCAAATTCTTCTGATTCCTCCTAAATATCTCTCAAATTCCCCTCCAGGTCACTGCTGAAATATCTCTCACCTATACATCCTTCCCACAGCTTTCTATTTCCAGTCTCATCATCTCTTCCCCTCTCCTCCTAGTATGTTCTTGATGCTGCTTAATTATCTTGCAACTCTTTCCATCTTTTTTGCTCTTTTCCATATAAAAGCTGATAAGACAAAAAATCCAGTCAAGAAATGGGCAGAAAAGGGCGCCTGGGTGGCTCAGTTGGTTAAGCGACTGCCTTCGGCTCAGGTCATGATCCTGGAGTCCCGGGATCGAGTCCCGCATTGGGCTCCCTGCTCAGCAGGGAGCCTGCTTCTCCCTCTGACCATCTTCCCTTTCATGCTCTCTATCTCTCATTCTCTCTCAAATAAATAAATAAAATCTTTAAAAAAAAAAAAAAAAGAAATGGGCAGAAAACATGAACAGACATTTCTCCAAAGAAGACATACAGATGGCCAACAGATACATGAAAAAATGTTCAACATCACTCAGCATCAAATCAAAACCACAATGAGATACCACCTCACATAGGTCAGAATGGCTAAAATTAACAAGTCAGGAAACAAGGGATGTTGGCAAAGGACTCAGAGAAAGGGGAACCCTCTTACACTGTAGGTAGGAATCCAAACTGGTACAGCCACTCTGGAAAACAGTATGGAGGTTCCTCAAAGAGTTAAAAATAAAACTGCCCTATGGCCCAGCAATTGCATTAGTAAGTATTTATCCAATGGATACAAAAATAGTGTTTCAAAGGGGCACATGCACCCCAATGTTTACAGAAGCAATGTCCACAATAGACAAACTATGGAAAGAACCCAGATGTTCATAGACAGATGAATGGATAAAGAAGATTTGGCATATGTAAAAAATGGAATACTACTCAGCCATAAAAAAGGATGAAATCTTGCCATTTACAACAACATGGATGGAACTAGAGGGTATTATGCTAAGTGAAATAAGTCAGTCAGAGAAAGGCAAATACCATATGATTTCACTCATGTGGAATTTAAGAAACAAAACATGAACATGGGAGAAGGGAAGGAAAAATAAGATAAAACAGGGAGGCAAACCATGAGAAACTCCTAACTATAGGAAACAAACAGAGGGTTGCTGGAGGGGAGGTGGTTGGGGGTTGGGGTAACTAGGTGATGGGTATTAAGGAGGGCACTTGATGTAATAAACACTGCGTGCTCTGATGCAACTGATGAATCATTAAGTTCTACTCCTGAAACTGATAATACACTATATGTTAACTAAATTGAATTTAAATTAAAAAATAGTTTTAAAAAAGTTGATAGGATGCTAGAGAGCCTTCTTTTTCATTTCAGTAATGTTGTCTTTCTGCCTTCTATTTTGTCTTATAATTGAATTCTGTGGTGTAGCCCCCAATTTGTTTGTTGGGCCCATTACATACTCAGCACTCTCTGTTCAGTGCTTTTAAGTTGGGTCTCTCACAACTACCCTAGAAAGTGGGAGTTCTGTTTTTTGGTTTGGTTTGTTTGTTTATGGTGATGGGTGTTTTGTTCTTTCACATGAGAAAGCAGATTCTAAAAAATGAAGCCACTTTCCCACATTTAAAAAATAAGATGCAGAACAGTATTCAAATTGAATTTCCATCACTCTAAAACAGAGCTTCTCAGCAGTGACATTATTAAATTTTGGGCTGGATAATTCTTTGTTCGAGCAGCTGCCCTGTGCATTGTAGGTTGTTTAGCAGTACTCCTGGCCTCTATGAGCTAGATGCCAGTAGTACCACCTCCTGCCCCCATTTCAGACAATCAAAAATGTAGTCCAGACATTTCCAAATGTACCCTGTGGAGATGAGGCAAAATCTCTCCAAGTAAAAATCACTTTGTTTAACTTTCTACTATCATCAGAAGATGTGGGCCAGAGCTCCAGATCTGCCACTAATATACTTTGTGATTTCTCAGGTGAAATCCTTGCCATTTCATGTCTTGTTTTCTATTACAAAATTATTACTTTTTGCTTTATAACTCAGCTGAAAGAGTATCATGGAAATGGTGTGAGGGGAATGAGGAGGTTAAGAAAATTGGGATATTGTTATAGCAGCACACCTGTTGGAGCATGTCACATTACCTCTTACAGAGGGAACAATATGTAGTAAGCCCACACGCTAGAGCCCTGAGGAAATGTATGAAGGTTAAGAGATGTTTTCAGAGAAAACAAAGATACATGTACACAGTGCTCTATTCAGCAGGGAATAAATACTTCAATGTCCTTGGGTTTTCAGAACACAAACAAAATTGTATTAAATAAAAAGCGTTCTCAAATCTACCTGAAAGGTTAATGTCTCCGTGAATTCTTAAAACAAAGTCCCAAAGATTAAAAAGGGAAAACAAAAAGTGTTATGTTTTCCTATAACATGTGTCATTGGGCATTTGTCCATATTATTCAAAAGGATATTTATGTAATGTTACAAAACATTTGAAAGTACCCTGTTGGGTGTTTTAGAGAAGGGAGGAAGGCAAGAGTAGGTTCAGACTTTTTTGCTAAAAGGAAAGCAGTAAAAAAGCAACTGGTGTTTGAGAAGAATTGGAAGACTGATACCATCAAATGTGACAGGATTATGAATTTCATTTGACTGATAGATGTCTATCCTATTTTGAAGTTCTCTGCTGATGGAAAGGTAATGGCTTTTCTCAGGAGGGAGAGGTTTTCTAATGTTAGTTCAATTTTAACAAAGGTGGTTTAGCATAATAGATAAGAGCCTGGGCACAGTGTTGGACTCAATGGGTTCAAGTCCAAGTTCACCTCTGATCATAATAGAACCAGCCACGTGAGGCTTAAAACAGAGTCTGACACATGGTAGCTGATCCACAAGCATTATTATTATCTTTTTTTTTTTTTTTTTTTTAAGATTTATTTATTTATTTGAGAGAGTGAGAATGAGAGAGAGTACATGAGAGGGGGTTGGGTCAGAGGGAGAAACAGGCTCCTTACTGAGTAGGGAGCCTGATGTGGGACTCGATCCCGGGACTCCGGGATCATGACCTGAGCCGAAGGCAGTCGCTTAACCAACTGAGCCACCCAGGCGCCCCAAGCATTATTATTATCATCATCATTATTATTTTGCCATTAAAAGCCTTTCCTTGATGTCAAACTGGAAGTCTTTCCAATTGCAAGTTAAGTATATTTTTTTCTCTAGGTTTTTTCCTATGAAAGTCGATAAATTAAGAATCTCCATATAATAGTCCTTTAAGCATTTGAAAGCAGTCATTATTGGTTTGAAGTCATTAGCTCATCATTCTTATCTCTTAATAATAATTCAGATTGTCTCTTTATTTTTAATAAAGGTCTTTATTTATCCCTTTTCTTAAGCCACTAAGGATAACTACCAATTTTTTAAATTTTTTAAAGATTTTATTTATTTATTTAAGAGAGAGACAGAGAGAGAGAGAACACAAGCAGGGTGAGGGGCAGAGGGAGAAGCAGACTTCCCACTGAGCAGGGAGCCCAATGCGGGGCTTGATTCCAGGACTCCAGGATCATGACCCAAGCCAAAGGCAGACGCCCA